GTTGACCCCTAGTATGCATTATATGTATGAAGTAAATATGCATCCAGTACCATGCATTCAATATGAACTAAATATGCATGGGATATGAATTGTACATGCAGTCCTTATGAATGAACTAAATATGCGCCAATAATATCAACTAAGTATGCACTTTTTGTGAACTAAATATGCATATGTTCTGAACTAAATATGCATCATGAATGAACTAAATATGCAGCGAAAAATATGCAATAAAATTTGCATTTTATATAGGTAATTTATGATGCATATTTAGTTAATTTATTATGAATATTTAGGTAATTTATGATGCATATTTAGTTAATACGAAATGCATACTTGTTATATTTAAATTAAATATATAATAATATTTATATAATTAATTTATTATGCATATTTACTTAATTCATGATACATATTTAGTTCTTACGAAATGCATATTTAGTTCATGAACAATGCATACCTATTTTATTTCAGATCCAATCATAACAATTTAGTTGTGTTATTAATCAATTTAAAATTAAAATTAATTATATAATAAAAATCATTAATTTTTATATTTAATTTAATTGTATAAATTGTACCATGCATTCAATATGAACTAAATATGCATGGGATATGAATTGTACATGCAGTCCTAATGAACTAAATATGCGCCAATAATATCAACTAAGTATGCACTTGTTATGAACTAAATATGCATCTGTTATGAACTAAATATGCATCATGAATGAACTAAATATACAGCGAAAAATATGCAATAAAATTTGCATTTTATATAGGTAATTTATGATGCATATTTAGTTAATTTATTTTGAATATTTAGGTAATTTATGATGCATATTTTGTTAATACGAAATGCATACTTGTTATATTTAAATTAAATATATAATAAAATTTATATAATTAATTTATTATACATATTTACTTAATTCATGATACATATTTAGTTCTTACGAAATGCATATTTAGTTCATGAACAATGCATACCTATTTTATTTCAGATCAAATCATAACAATTTATTTGTGTTATTAATCAATTTAAAATTATAATTAATTATATAATAAAAATCATTAATTATTATATTTAATTTAATTGTATAAAATGTATATTTTATTGCATATTTTCGTTGCATATTTAGTTCATTCCTGATGCATATTTAGTTAGTAAAATGTGTATATTTAGTACATAAACAGTGCATACATAGTTGATATTACTGGTGCATATTTAGTTCATAAGGATGACATATATAATTCATTTCTTATGCATATTTAGTTCTTACTAAGTGCATAGTACTGTATGCATATTTACTTCATACACAATGTCATACTATGGGTCAACAGTCAACGATGAAAGTCAACGCTGGAAGTCAACTATTTTCGCCGGAAGTCAACGGTCAATGTCGGAAGTCAACGGTCAACGCCGGAGTCAACGGTCAACGCCGAAGTCAATGGTCAATTGTCAAAATAATATTTAAATAATAAAGAAAAAGAATAAAGTAATATAAATAAAGAATTGTTATAAATGAAGAGTTAAATCTTGGCCACACACATCATGTACCAATCTAGTGGCTATGAATGAGTCTCACATTCACACTTTAAATATGTGGACTCATTGGATCCAATCCCTATATATAACATTACTTTCATGTATTAAACTCATTCCCAAATTGGAAAATATATTCTCCTCAAAAGAAAAAAAAAAAAAATTGATCTATTATTTATAATTACCATCATATTAGTTATTGAGAAATGCTCACCTACCCACGGTGGGCACATGTTAATATGCCCACCGCGTAGGTGGCATGCACTCAATTGTGATGTATTTTTTTAAACATATTAACATCAGCAATGAGTGCATGCCACCTACGCAGTGGGCATATTAACATGTGTCCACCGTAAATTGGGGAACACTACTCATTAGTTATTATATACGTTTTATGAATTTTCATGATTTTGTATTATAATACGCGGAATTAATATCCCCCTATATATTAATCCAGAACGCGCTGAGCCTACGTGGCTGCTTTTGGTGCTTCGGAATCCTATATGGCAAAATTAGATACATCGTTATTAGGTTTGGGTAAATTTTAATTTAATTCCAAACCAAAAATAATTAGGTCCGGATTACCATAAATATGTTGATTATTTATGGTCATGTTACATGTATTAATTGCATTTTAATATCATTCTTTATTATAACTATTGAATTGTATATATATTTTAAAAGTTAATAACTTTTGTATTTTTTATCAGTTTTACATATGTAATATATCAAATTAATCTTCTTTTGATGAGCTTCGATTTAACATCCATATTGTATGTATAAAAAAAATAATTTATATTTATTTTTATAATAATAATAAAATTATTTTTAATATTAAGAAAAATAAAATTATTTATCAACTAATATATTTATATTTCAAGGAGTTATATGATATAAGTTATAAAAACTAATATAATATAACACATGTAAGTCATAAGTAACACATGTCATTCTAAAATATATAGTAATTTATTTTTTTATTTGTAAAAAAAGTAAACTAAATTTAATGTATTTTTCTCATTAATTTTAAAATTTAAGAATAATTTTTTAACAAACACCCGTGGTGTTGTACTAGTTCTTTTGATTTTTGAAAATAGATTTTTGGGTGTTGGAAGCGGTCCACCAACTAATCGTACGTCGTCGTTTATGTGCAATAATCTCTCGCAAACAATCTCATCTTCGTCGACGAGAATTCCCTGCGATTTTTACACTCCAGCAAAGGTTACACCTTTCTGTCAATCTCCTTGCGTTTTAGTGTATTTTTTCAGATTTCATTGCACATTTGTTCCTTTTCCCCGTGCTGTTGTTACACGATTGAAAATTGCTGGAAATTTGGCTGACTGATTTTCGCTGCTCTAAATGTCGCAATTGTGGGTTTATGCGCATAAGCTGTTTGTAAAAATGTCTGCAAGGGATACAGAGTAAATAATTTGAAGGGCTTGAGAAATTCCTGATCATCTATTTGATTGAGTAAGTAAACTGTAGACAAAGTTAGTATATACACTTACAAAAACTTTGCAAAATTTCAGCAAATGGCTGGAAAAGCAGCAAAATCGGTGGCGAAAGCCGTAGGCGAATACCAGTACCCATGGAAAGATAAGCTGGCAAAGTACAGGGACGAGCTCTCGAAAGGTGTGTGGGGATACTGGGAGCTCGGGGCCTGGAAGCCCCTTGGCATCAGCGCACGCCACCGGGCCCGCCTGCGCAAAGAGGTCCTTCTTGCAGGGGCAGATTGGGAATTTGACCCGGAGAGGAAGGAGATGAAGACGAAGAGGAAAGGTCACAAGGTGGACAGGCTGGCTGCCGAGAAAAGGGAACGTACGGCAGAGCTCATGCAGGCCATGCCAGATATGCTGGCCGACTACCGGAAGAGAAGGTGGGAGAGGAAGATGAAGGCGGAGGAGGATGCCGCTAAGAAGGCCCTGCAAGAGTGAATTTACCATTTTAGCCCTTTTGGAATAGGGTTGAGATTTGGAGGTATTGTTCGTTTTCTGTTTGGTGCCAGCCTCAAGTTTGATTCTTGTTTTGGTTGTGGGATATGATATGAATCATTACTTCCTTTCATGAGACTTCGAATTTCTCTTCTTTCCTTTGTTATTTTGGTGTAAGGTTTGCTTGAAATGGGTCTTGTCTTGAGATATTTATTGTATGTGAGATTGTTTGATTGCCGGCTGTTATGTGCTGGACATATAAGTACTCTTCTGTGGATTTAGCTGATGAAATGTTCGAAAATCGGTCTTGCTGTTTTCGTTTTTGCTTCGTAGAACATCCCTTTTTAACATTATTGTACGTATGAGATGTTTTGTTTTGCTTTCTCGCATGGCCTAATTATGCGGGACGATCAACATAACAATAATATGGTTGTTATGTGGATTCTATTGTTAAAACTTATGGGCTGCGTTGGATTTCTGTAAATGAGTAGTTAATGTTCAATACAAGCTGGATACACAACCGAAAACCTAACACTTTGAGAGAGCCACTCACAGAGTGGTCTACATACACAAACCAAACATACGGGCTTTAGGCATGAACATACCCCCGAGACCTAAAGTCGTAGAACCTCCAAGACAAACAAAACCGACAATAAAACCAACAAACCAACTAAAACCCAAGAAACATCAAAACAAACCTAACAAGAATTAAACGCAAACAAATAAGCTATATAGCACAGCCCTGCTACCCGCGAACTCCTGCCACTCCCTCCAATCTCCTCTTATCTGCACTTCTTCAGGCATCCAAACATTCTCAAACAACCAAAGTTTTCGAGATCGCCACAACCCCAAAGAAAATAAGTGGTTAATTGAATGCGATCCTTAGATATGACCGAAGAGTCACTAGAGCAAACCTGCCACCACCAAAGTCTAAAAGAAGACTCACTGTGCTGCACTCCATCCCTAGGTGATTTGGTTGGCTGTTTCCTGCAATTTTTTTTTTTGTGGAGGAAACAATTTACAGACTTAACAGCCTAACCGTCAAACTTTTTTCCCTCTTTCAGTACCTTTTATGTTAGTGTGAATCCACCCATGGGAAAATTGGATCATACTGGTGTGTCCATCCTCTCAGTGTGGGCATTGCTTCGAGTTTTTACCAAAGTTTTAAATATTGTACAGTATTGGCCGATAATACCGGATACCGACTATTGGCACGGATTACACACAAAATATCGGATTTACGACTATACCGGTTTGTACCGGGATCATACCGTAAATAACGGCCCCAAATTTTTTTTAAAAAAAAATCATATTTGTTAATTTAAAAACATAAAATTAAAATTGGTTTACAATTTTATTTTTATCTCATTGAGTTCGAGGAAATTTGGCTCCCCCAAATTCCCTCTCCTCGGCCTCCATCAATTCGAGGAAATTTGGCTCCCTAAGCGGACATCCGGGAAGTCAGTGGACGGCTTCTCCTCCGCTCCTCCATGGCGGCGGGTTCTTAGTATTTGTTTGGTCATCTCTGAATTAGGGCTAGGGTTTTGGCGGATTTTTCCGCTCGAAGGTTGCCGGAATTCAAGGGTTTCCGGGCTAGGCGGGATGTGGTCGCGAGTGGACGATGTTTGTGTCGCTTGGTTCGGCTGGGTTGGGGCGCCTCTTCTCGGCCAGTTCGGTGGATCGATGCGGGCTAGTTTTCGGCTTCAGAGGAGGAGGGCCGTCGGTCCCTCTCTTGTGGGGGGTGGGGGTCGGGTCTTCTCTTTGTGGGCTGGTCTGTTTGGAGGTGGTTCTTTCGGGCTGGGCCGAAGTGGTCGGACAGGGAAGCCTTAAACGTCCTTTCTCTCCTTTCTTGGTTTTGAGTTCGGGGAGGCCGACGGTCCCCGGAGTAGGCTAGTGGTGTTAGGCTGCTTCGGGTGGGTGTCGAATCGGCTAGTGGTGTTAGCCGGTTGGGGGGTTTTGGGGCTTTTTGCGGTTGAGGTGCGGGTCAGGTTCTCGGATTGTTTTTTAGGCTTGGGTTAGTGGCTTGCTAGGCCTTTCGCAGTGGTGGTCGTGGTATCGGAGCTTCGAATCTCTCCTCGGAATCGGATTTGTCTGTTGTCTTTTCAGGATTTTTCTGCTTAGGGAGGCTATGTTGTTAGTGTGTAGTTGGTTTTCGTTTTTTGTTCAATTTTGTTATTTGTGTTGTTGTGTTGTTAGTTGTTGTGTTTTAGGTTTGGGCCGTTGGCATCGGTTAGCTCGAGTGTGAACTTATTATCCTTTTGGGATCACACACTCGAGCATTACCCTGTTGGGGCCGTTTTAGTGTTGTGTTTTTGTGTTGGGTGTTTATTACCCTGTTAGGGTCGTTTTTGTGTTGGGTGTTTATTACCCTGTTAGGGTCGTCTTTAGGCGGGCTTAGTCCTGTCCTCTCAGTTTTTTCGGCTGGTGGTTGTGCGTTGTCAGCTGATGTTTGTATTAGCACATTTGTGCCCTTTTATAATATTTCTATCGTTCCCGAAAAAAAAAGATATTTATATATATTATTATATTTGCTAGTCCTGTAATACCACTGATATTACCGGTCCGATCGGTAATACCGCGTACCGGTGGGTAGTCTGGTATGACCACGGGTACGGCATTTAAAACACTATTTTTTACATTTGAATCAAGCACAGACATCCACAGGAGTTTTTGCTTTTTTGGTACCCGAACTTTTCATGATTTTCTTTGGCACTCAATTTTCTAACTTAATTAGTTTGGTCCCCAACATTTTGGTGGTTAATCAATTTGGTCATTGGCATTAAAATTTCTGCCAAAATCTAACCATACCGTTGCAATTAATTTTTTTAATTGATAAATATAATTAAATTTAATAAAAGTAAATAACAATTAGCTATCTGAAAATCCTTTTATATATGTTTATATACAGTAATCTAATGATTACTTATGTTTAACTCTTGTTAAAAAAAGAATAACGTTATTGAAATTTCTAAAATTGAAAAGTTGTAACATTTTCTTTGTACCTTTTTTTTTTCAACTTGGGAGAAAATTTAATCACATTATTTTATCGTGAATCGCTATTTACCGCCTCCTATTACTAGTTACCGACGAAAATATCCTCGACCCAAATCTCTCTACTCTCTCGACCTCTTTAAAACCGAAACTTCAACGAGCCATTCGAGCTTCAAAAAATCCGAAAATATGTCAAAAAAATCCTACGGCATCGGCAAAGCATTGTTCTCTAGCAAAGTAATTTCTTATCAACACTTCTTCAGGCATCCGAACATTCTCAAACAACCAAAGTTTTCGGGATCGCCACAACCACCAAAGAAAATAAGTGGTTAGCTGAATGCGATTCTTAGATATGATCGAAGAGTCACTAGAGCAAACCTGCCACCACCAAAGTCTAAAAGAAGACTCGTTGTGCTGCACTCCATCCCTAGGTGGTTTGGTTGGTTGTTTCTTGCAATTTTTTATGTGGAGGAAACAAGTTACAGAACTTAACAGCCTAACCGTCAAACCTTTTTTCCCTCTTTCAGTACATTTTATGTTGGTGTGAATCCACCCATGGGAAAATTGGATCATACTGGTGTGTCCATCCTCTCAGTGTGGGCATTGCCTCGAGTTTTTACCAAAGTTTTAAATATTGTACCGTATTGGCCGGTAATATCGGATACCGGCTATTGACACGGATTACACACAAAATATCGGATTTACGACTATACCGGTTTGTACCGGGATCATACTGTTGTGGTATCATCCCAAGATCATAAACATATTTGAGAGAAAAACACGTTTCTATTACTCACAAGAATAAAAACACAAGAGATTTACAAACTCTAAAAAAAACTCTCAAACACTCCACAACTCTTTCTTGGTTGTGTTTCAACACTCTCAAGGTTGATTGATCACTCAAGGATGATTTGAATGAATGAAATAACAAGCCTATTTATAGATATCAAATAGCACACCACCATTGACAAAATGGTGTGAAATGTGAAGGTTGGTGAAGGGTGGTGGCTAGCCTTTTTCTTCAATGGTGTGCTTCATGGAAGACTTCTTCCTTGGTGTGCCACAACTACTGCATGGAACTTTCAATTCTCCCCTTTTCCATGCAAGTTCCGAACAAGCATTCCTACTATGTCTCTGCATAGTTTAAGCTTATCCAGTGTAACCACTTTTGTCAACATATCTGATGGATTCTCCTCCGTATTGATCTTCACTAGTTTTAACAGCTGTTGATCAATCTTCTCGCGTATCCAGTGATATCGAACATCAATATGCTTTGTGCGGGCATGGTACATAGAGTTCTTGCTTAAGTCAATAGCACTTTGACTATCACAATATACCTTGTACTCTTTCTGCTTAATCCCGAGTTCTTGGAGATAGCGCTTTAGCCACAACATTTCTTTACCAGCTTGAGCGGCAACAATATATTCAGCTTCTGTTGTGGATAAAACAACACACTTCTGCAATCTTGATTGCCAAGAAATTGTTCCTCCTGCAAAAGTGTAGACATAGCCCGAAGTAGACTTTCGACAATCGATATCTCCGGCCATATCAGCATCAGTATATCCATCCAAGACTGGATCAGCTCCCCCGTAACAAAGACATAACTTAGAAGTACCCTTCAAGTATCTGAGAATCCATTTGATAGCTTCCCAATGCGCCTTCCCGGGGTTAGAAAGAAAACGACTCACTACACCCATTGCATGAGCAATATCTGGCCTTGTACACACCATTGCATACATCAGACTTCCAACTGCTGAAGAGCATGGCACTGCAGACATCTCCCCCATCTCTTCCTTGGATGTTGGACATAATCTCTTGCTCAACTTGAAATTATTTGCAAGTGGAATACTCACTGGTTTGACATCACTCATATTAAATCTTTCAAGTATTCGCTCAATATACTTCTCTTGAGATAGCCATAACTTACCATTCTCTCGGTTTTGAGTAATCTGCATCCCAAGGATCTGTTGAGCCTTTCCTAAATCTTTCATATCAAAAGACTTAGAAAGTTC